TTCTTTCTTTCTTTCTTTCTTCTTTCTCTCTCTCTCTTTCTTTCTTTCAAGTAAACTCCACACCCAGTGTGGGGTTTGAACCCTGAGATTAAGAGTTGCATGCTCTACCGAGTGAGCCAGCCAGGTGCTCCTTAAACGTGGTAACACTTTAAAGTGCTACCTTGGTGCTCAGGATGCAGGAGGTGCTCAGAATCAGCACTGTGCAAACAAGCAGTGTTTCGCAGATTTATTTAAACACAGGACACTTTCTTCCCAGGACACCACTGTCACTGGGGCCCTGTGTCCTGCAGAGCACAGCTCAGGAGGGGCTGCAACCATATTCCGGAAGAATGTCCATGCCAAGCCCTGGAGCCTCAGCTAACAACCATCACTGTTGTCCCAAGGGTTCATTTTCACTGCTGCCATAACAGAGTCTTTGATCTTGAGGGTTTTGGAGATGCCCTAAGGAGATGTTAGAAACAGAATGGGACCCGTTGGAGGGGGGCTTTATAACCTCCCCCAAGGGAGCTTTTAAAGCTTTGAGTTAATGAGAGCGCACCGTTTTAATTACTTTTATTATTATTTAGGTATGCTAAGGCCAGCAGACCAGGAGATTGCCATTGAGAAGACAGTTTGTTCCCCACAGATCTCTAGGGGATGGGGTGTGCCGCACCGCAGAGGGACACATGGGGAAGCATCCGGCAGGTCAGCAGGCAGAGGGCGAGAGGGAGCCTTGTGGTTTCTGAGGGAAAGAACAGGTGAGGCAGAGTGAGCAGGCTCCAGAGTGGCTAGTTTGAATAATTCCAGGGCTCTGGGGCATAGGGGCTGCCCCTGGTTGTCAGGTACCTGGCCCTTGGTGACTAAGGCAGGAGGACAGTAGCCCAGAGTATGAGAGCCATAGAAGAGGTGGTTAGGGGTGTGGGCTCTGGATTGGTTTGCATTTCACAAATACCCGCTCAGGTGAATTATTTACTATCTCTAGGAACTGGCTAGCCCTGGGAGGGTCAGTCCCTCCAAGGTCAGCAAGGCCCCAGATATCAAAGCATCAAAATACAGAAAATGCAAGGCATGATCAATACACGCACTGTGCCTGGCACTGAGCAAATAAATCCCATCTACTTCTTCACACCCCTCGGGCTGGCACTATGCTCATCTTCATTTTCCAGAGGGGGTAAGGAACTCGGCTGCAGTTGTGTAGTTAAAGAGGATCTGAGATCCACGTTTGAACCCCAACTTGGGAAGTCAGGTCCTCCACCCATCTGGCAGATTAAAGGGACTGACCATGTCAGGTGTTGGCGAGGGTATCTCTGGACTTCTCCTACCTGCTGGTGGCAGTGCAGATCGGTACAACCATGTGGGGGACACTGGTAGTATCTACTAAAGCTAAATGTACATTTTCCCTCCGCCCAGCAACTCCAGTCCTGGGTGTCTACCAGAAGAAATGAGAACACAGGTGCATCAAAGACACTGACAGGGATGTTCACAGCAGTTTTATTTGTAATGGCTAAAGACTGGAAAGCACCCAAATGTGTGCTAACAGAAGAATGGAGAAGCTGTGGATACGCTGTGGTTTATCCACATGTAACTATGAGAATGAATTAGACATTGCTGCATACATATGGATGACTCTCCTAATGTTGAACAGAAGAAGCAGGAGCAAAAGGAACGCACTGTCATTCCACTTAGAGTTGGTGTTCTAGAGCAAGCAAAACGGATCTAAGTGATTGAAGTCAGAATGATGGTTACCCTTGGGGTGAGAGAGCCTGTTACTGATGGGGATGGCACATGAGGGAGCCTTCTGGGGAGATGGAAACATTCTAAATCGTCATCTGGGTAGAGGTTGCGGGGGTGGAGACATATATATATATATCTGTATAAATAAAATCATTAAGCCATACACTTAAAATCTATGCACCTTATCCTACAGGAGTCACACCTCAGTAAAAAAGCATCTGCCTGCTATAACTGCATGTGTATGTGTGGATTTCTAGACTCCTGTTCTCAGAGGGCCCTGTGGAGCCAGGATCCCGACATTTGGGAAGATAAGGCCCGGCTGTTGGGCCCCAGCCACTATACCCCCATGCTCCCACCTCTAGTCAATGGGTTGATTTGCATGCCTTGTCATGGTCCAGGGGCTTCCCCTGCCTGTGCTCTGAAGCACCTGGAGGACTTCCAACAGAACAACTCCTGTCTGCCTTCCTGCCTCTAGCCATGGCCTGCTGGCATCTGGCCCTCCTTCTGACTGGGGCCCTCCTGTCCGGTGAGCTCCCCCTAGGCCTGGCTCACCTGGGGTGGGGTGGGGGATGGTACTGGCTCCAGAAGGCCCCTGCAAGGAAGCAAATCAATGTGGGTAGTGGGAGGGTTCTAGAAGGGGCATTAAGGTGGAGGGGAGAACTGGCTACAGGTGGCTCTGCCCTAGACCTGGGGCAAGTCACTTCTCTGTGTGGGCCTCAGTTTCCCCATTTGTGAATGACCAGATTGTTAGGATCCCTTCAGGTTCTGATTCTTTGGGGACTCAGAAGAGATTGGAAGTGGTCGGTCACCTTTTTAGTTTTTCACATGGGAAGCTATCCCGAGGTGGGACGGCCCAGGAGGCTTCCTGGTGGTGGTAGCCAGAGTCTGGAAGAGCCAGTGTGACTGAGGGGTAAGGAATGGGGGTGGGCAGAGAAGAGCCCAGAGGCCACCAGTCCCATACTCTGAACTCTAGGTGCTCAACTGAACACAGATTCTTGCGAACATAGAACAAAGGAGGACTTAGGGGTTGCCACCTTTGTTCCCCATCCATCTCAATTCCGTGGCACTGGGCTATGAGGCTTTCAGGAGTCAGAGTCTCCTTGGAATCTGACCAGGCCTTCGTGGGGTGGGGACAGGAAGAAAGAAGCCCATGGGTCTCTCTCTCTCTCTCTCTCAGTCTCTCAGCCAGGCTTGGCCCAGCCAGATGCACTGCTGGTCTTCCCAGGCCAGGTGGCCCAGCTCTCCTGCATGCTCAGCCCCCACCATGCCACTGTTGGGGAGTATGGCGTGTCTTGGTATCAGCAACGGGCAGGCAGTGCCCCCCGATACCTCCTCTACTACCGCTCAGAGGACGACTACCACCGGCCGCCTGACATTCCTGCCCGCTTCTCGGCAGCCACAGATGCCGCCCACAATGCCTGCATCCTGACCATCAGCCCCGTGCAGCCTGAGGACGACGCAGATTATTACTGCTCTGTGGGTTACACAACCTAGGGGTGAAGTGTAGGATGAGTGCCTCTCGTCTGCCTCTCATTTCTGCACTCTGACCTTGGGCCCCCCTCTTTCTTCAAACCTTGATTTTGCTCCTCTGTAAAATGGGTTAATAATATTAAACCTGTAAAAAATAATATCAAACATGTGAACAATAACTATTCGGAGGGCCATAAAATTCCTGCTGAAAAAGTGACTGGGAGTGTGGGGGTAGGGATTCTGGGGATTGTTACAGAAGAGGAAGCACCTGAGACCCTTGGGGGAGGGCCCAGCCTCTCTACTGGCCCCTAGGGGGCTTAGACTGGTGGCCCGGGCTTCCTGTGACCTGAGGAGCTGGAGGAAGAGAAAAAGGAACCAGCTCCTAGCTCTGCATGGCTGGTTGTGGTTCAGTGCTCAAGGGGTGACTGGACAGGGTCCTCATGGAGCCCAGGCTGCTAGCATGGGGGCCGAGGGGAGCCCCTGCTTACTCCTTGATAGGGCAGGAAGGCAGGTGTGAGTATGCATGTGGTGTGGGGGCACTCAGAGGCACCCCTGGGCTTAGACGGAGGATTTTTTTTTTTAAAAGATTTTGTTTATTTATTTGAGAGAGAGAATGAGAGAGAGAGAGTACATGAGAGGGAGGAAGGTCAGAGGGAGAAGCAGACTCCCTGCTGAGCAGGGAGTCCGATGCGGGACTCGATCCTGGGACTCCAGGATCATGACCTGAGCCGAAGGCAGTCGCTTAAGCAACTGAGCCACCCAGGCGCCCAGACGGAGGATATTGATTGCAGGTGGGCAGCATCTCTCCAGTTAGGAATGTGTGTTCTACTGATCCCGTGATAGGGCTGTGCCCCCCTCCCCCACCAGTTCTTCCACAGGGAAGGTTGTACCTGAGCAGCTGCACCGAGTGGGGAACACTGGGTGGAAGAGCAATCCTTATTAGAAGCAGAGCTGAGCGTCTGGGTTGGGAGGGGCGGGGCTCAAGAACACACTCTTCTTCCCTCCCGGTTCCTTATGTCTGGAGGTCATCCCTCACATGCACTGGAGTTGGGGGTCTCCAGGGTCCAGCCTACACTCCCAGCAGTCTCCTGGGCCCTCACTCGGCCCCTTCTCATCTCAGTCTCTGCTGATACCAGCTGGGCAGGCAGGACCGGGGCTACCCAGGAAGGGTGAATCATGCAGGACCTCTGGGCCTGTGCGGGGTGACGGGCTCCACAGCTCTGGGAACCCCTTCCCTTCTCCTGAAGACCCCACCCCCCTCGGCCTCTGGCTCGCCCCCACCCACAGGGCAAGTGCCGCGGGAACTCGGCCGCCTGCCTGCTGCTCTAGGCCCGCCCGCCCTTCCCGGCCTCAGTTGCCTCTTCTGCACTCCCGCCAATGGCTGACCAGCTGTGTTGCCCACGACCAGGATTTGCGTTGGGAAAGGCCCGGGGCCCAGTCCCTGTCCTGGTGCCCCGAGCGGGAGCTGCTACGCGCGCGGACACCAAGCGCCGCAGGAGCACCGAGACGCGGGGACCTCCACGCGGCCTAGAGCGGTCCCGGAAGTGCCCGCGGGCGAGGGGGCGGGGCTCCGGGCTCTCGGGCCGCCGCGGGCTTCGCGTCAGCAGCCGCCGCGGAGCGCGGCCGGGTCGGCCGCGGGTTGGAGCAGCTCAGGTGCGGCCCCGCCCCGCCCGCCCGCGGCCCCGCCCCGGCCCAGGTGAGCGGCCCCGCCCCGGCCCAGGTGAGTGGCTCGGCGTCGGCCGGTGTGACCACCTGTCCCTCCGGTGGCCTGGGGTGTGGGCGTCCCTCATCGGTGGGAAGCATGTAGGGGCTCCCGCATCGCCGCTCGGGCGGCGTGTGCGTGTCCGCAGCCGCTCGCGGGCTTCCAGCCAGGAAGCCCTGCGGACCGAGGGTCTCCAGGGTGCCCAGGCCCTGAGGGCTCCCCGAAGGAAAGGGTGACGGATGCAGGAGGAGCCGAGGAAGGCCCCGAGAGAGGTGGGAAGGTGGGGTTCCAGACCTTTGAATCTTCGGTCCAAAAATATTTAAAACGTTGAGGACAGATAAAGAATTGCCAACTTTATAAACAGAGTGGAGACTTCAGCATGTAGGTGGTCCATAGTGGGAATGGAAAACCCCTAAGGAGGGAACCTTGGAAACACCAGGATTTAACAGGTGGGTGGAAGAAGAGTTGCAATCACAGATACCAAGAAAAGGGGATCAGAGAGCATTAAAACTGGGGGGGGGGGTAAGGGAGAGGACTTTCAGAAATGAAGGGAATAAAGAGCAGGTGGTGGGAAGGGGGCTGGGGGGTTCAAAACTTTGAGGCGTTCAGGTAGGCAAGGTGGGTTTAATGAAGGGGTGGATCCGTATTATCACATCTTCCAGGTTTTCAAGAGAAAGCGTGAAACCTACAGAGTTTCCAATATTGGCAGCTAAGTCAAACAAAAAGAAAAGGTTCCAACTCTTTTCGAGCCAAACAAAACGTGTCTGTGGCAGGATCCCCAGGCTGCCAATTTGCAACTTCTGAAATGAAAGGTTTTGAGAAGGGAGCTATTGGTGAGCACGGCCAAAAGGGGTGGGAAAGTGAGGGCTGAGAAGAGAGGGATTGGCCATAAGGAGGTCACTGGATGCAAGAGCTGAAGATGCTGAAGTCCCAGCTGAAATTGGAAACCTGAAATTTGTCTTCGTGCGGTACACAGTCCTATGATTTTCTTTGGCAACATTTAACATCTTAGGAGGAATTGACGGAGAACGTTGGTATTTGGCAGTTGGTTGCAGCAGGGCAGGAAGGTGAGGAACGTGATGCTGGTCAGAGTCTATAGTTCGATCCATGATAGAGTCTAAGCTAGACGGGGAAGGGTGGACTAGAAGAGAGAACCAGAGCGAAACTGGTGGGTTGTTAGACCTGATGAGATCAATCTAGAGAACCTGAAGGACTGGAGATTATGGTTGCTGAAGAGGGAGGGAAAGGGAGTTAAGTGGTCAAAGAATTTTTGAGAATACTTCAGTTCTGTGCTTCTTTTCACACCTGGCCTTTTTACTGCCTTATAATTCATTTAAAAAAAATCATTTCCAAGTAGGAATGAGTTAGGCAGGGGGAGTGAGAGAGGGAGAAGCAGGCTTTCTGCGGAGCAGGGAGCCTGACGCGGGGCTCGATCCCAGGACCCTGTCGTCATGATTGAGCCGAAAGCAGACGCTTAACGACTGAGCCACCCAGGCGCCCCAACTTAGTGTGTTTTTTGAGCTGCTTAACTATCTGTGTTTCAGTGTACTGCTAATAGTACCTTTGTATAGAGTTGTGAGGATTAAATGCAAATGTGCTTATAGAAGGTCTAGTAATGCCTAACACATAGTAGATGCTCCATAAACATGAGCTGTTATCATTATCATGGTACCTGGGGTTTCCCTTTAGCTTGCATGGCCATTTCTGAATGGGGTCCTGAGGGGCTCCCTCAGAGGCCACCACAGTGGGATGGGGGTGTTCCAGGATCCGTCCATGTCCATATGAAAACAACCCCCATCAACTGGAGCAGCTCTGCTTTTGTCTTTTATTTATTTATCTCTCCCAGACGATTTATTTGAATAAAGAGTTCTGTGCTCTCCTTCCCTCAAAACTGATGTGGCCATCAGTTCTAGCACAAAACCAAGTGGCTTTTCCTCCAGTCTTGTGTTTATGCAACCAATGTGTGTGGAGATTGTCCTGTTGTGCTGGGGGCTGGGGCTGGGGCTGGGGGCTCCACAATGAAGGGAGCTCTCAGGCAGTGGTGGCAGGAGTCCTGACAGCCCATGTTTGCCATCCAGGATGGTGAGTGCTGTGATGCACACGTGCACTGAGCTCTGCAGGCACTGAGGGGGTGTGCCTGAGATTAGCAGTCTTAGGGTGCAGAAAAGGGGACGTTAGGACTGAGTCTGGGAAGATGGGCCAGTGGCAGTCTGAGAAGAGAGGGGGACCTGTTAGAGGAGGAAGCATTTAGGGCTGTGTGGAAGGAGAGGCTGGAGATGGGGCTGGAAGGGCTAGTGCTGTGAAGGGCTTTGGGAAGGATTTGGGCTGCTGCAAGATCCTGAGACAGATGATCAGGCCTGTGTTTGGGGTATTTGACGCTGGTGTCAATGTAGACAACAGACCTGAGGGAGGAGTAGAAGCTGGAGGCAGGTGGTCATTTGGGAGGTGAGTATGGAAGTAATCCTGGGGAGTTGCCCTGAGGCCTGGGCTGCTGACTGACAGAGAGCCAGAAGCCTCTTAATAAAGCTTCAGGAAATGGACAGACTAGGCGTATGGGGTGAGAGAGGGGGAAGGTCTAGGCTGACTCCCAGGGTTGTGGCTTGGGCACCAGGCTGGAGGGGGTGCAGCTAACCTAGTATAGAAGGGAAGTTTGCGCTCTCTCCAAAACCCCCATCCCCAAGGTCCTCCATTAGCCAGAATCTTGCCCCCTTTCCACAATGGCCCCACTCCTGCTCTCGTCTACCTTTCTGAGCACCTTCAGTCTTTAGATTCTAGACCCCATGGTGTAGCACTTGATTCTGTCTGTCTGTCTTTTTTGTAGTTGTTTCTGATCAATCAGACTTGTCCCTAACTCAGTGGGGATCATCTCAAGGGCAAGCTTGTATCTCATTTTGTCTTGTCCAGGAAAGATTCTGGCCCAGGAAGGAGGTATGTACTAGGTGCTTGATTTGACAATCAATATCCCTTGTTTTCTTCTCAGATTGGGAGAACAGTGTGTCCTTAAGAAGACTATCTTTCAAGAAATACAGTCACTGGGGGGTGATACTAGAGTCACAATGGAGGTTCCCCCAGCAGCCAAGTTTGATGAGACCTTTGTGTTTGAGGACGGCTTAGAGATGCAGCAAGAATTCTTCCCAGAGGAAGACCTGGGGGACCCTTTTCTTCAGGAAAGAGGTTTAGAGCAAATGGCTGTTATTTATAAGGAGATCCCTCTCGGGGAGCAAGACGAGGAACATGATGATTATGAGGGCAATTTCAGTCTGTGCTCAAGTCCTGTTCAGCATCAGAGTACCCCCCCAGTAAACAGATCCCAGGATGATGAAATCTTCAACCCAACCTTCTTCCAGAAATCAGACCTTAGTATGTGTCCGATAATCCACAGTGGAGAGGAACCCAATAAACACAGTTGTGAGAAGGCAGGCAGGGCACACTCAGGACCTAACGAACCTCACAGAACTGCGCCACCTGCAAAACCCTATGCGTGTCGGGAATGCGGGAAGGCCTTCAGCCAGAGCTCACACCTTCTCAGGCACCTGGTGATTCACACCGGGGAGAAGCCCTACGAGTGCTGTGAGTGCGGGAAGGCCTTCAGCCAGAGTTCACACCTTCTCAGACATCAGATAATTCACACTGGGGAGAAGCCCTACGAATGTCGGGAATGCGGAAAGGCCTTTCGCCAGAGCTCAGCCCTCACACAACACCAGAAAACCCACACTGGGAAGAGACCGTATGAGTGTAGGGAATGTGGGAAAGATTTCAGCCGGAGCTCAAGTCTCAGAAAACATGAGAGAATCCACACAGGAGAGAAACCTTATCAGTGTAAGGAATGTGGGAAATCCTTCAACCAAAGCTCCGGCCTGAGCCAGCATCGGAAAATCCATACCTTGAAGAAGCCTCACGAATGCGCTCTCTGTGGGAAAGCCTTTTGTCACAGGTCCCACCTCATTCGGCACCAGAGGATTCACACTGGGAAGAAACCTTACAAATGTGAAGAGTGTGGGAAGGCCTTCAGCCAGAGCTCCAACCTCATTGAACATCGCAAGACCCACACTGGCGAAAAACCCTACAAATGCCATAAGTGTGGGAAAGCCTTCAGCCAGAGCTCCTCCCTCATCGAGCACCAGCGCATCCACACTGGGGAGAAGCCCTATGAGTGCGGCCAGTGTGGGAAGGCCTTCTGCCACAGCTCTGCCCTGATTCAGCACCAGAGAATCCACACTGGGAAGAAACCCTACGCGTGCAACGAGTGTGGCAAAGCCTTCCGGCACAGGTCAGCCCTTATTGAGCACTATAAAACCCACACCAGAGAGAAGCCCTATGAGTGTAACAAATGTGGCAAGTCCTTCAGGGGAAGCTCACATCTTATTCGGCATCAGAAAATCCATGCTGGGGAGAAGCTCTAGAAGGAGGCGCTCACACCAAAGCTTGAAACCCTTTCCCGGATGGAACCCACACCCCATCGCCTTGTCTGTAAGACCCCACCCACCTCCCTGATCCCAGGGCCGAATGGAAACGTGCTATCCCCAGAGCTTCTGGCCACCCACGCTGGCAGCCAGGTCCCCTCGTTCCCCCCACCCTGCCCAGGCACCCCACACGCAGCAGGTTTACTGAATGGGAGGGAGGGTGGAGTAATGGGAAGGCCGCTGAATCAGAGGCACACCCAAAAAGAGACCTGGCCTCTGATTTGACTCCCAAGCCTGTGAAATTGAGTTTTGCCATCTCTTCGCCTTTGTTAAAATCCAGAAGAATAAACACCAGAGGGAGAAAGTTGAGTTAAATGTACAAATATGTCAGATGAACTCTCTAACGTCAGCTGCAGTCTGGCACTTTGAGAAGACAGAACTGTGCTCACAGTCTGAATCCACTAAAGAAAAATGAATCTGAAAGTAGCTATGTTAACAGCAAAATGGAATCTTCCACCTGGCTTGGGCACTGGTGGGGACAACCAAAACAGGTTACAGAAGAGAGGGAGGGTCTGGAAGGATTCATTCTGGGTTGGGGAAGGGAGTGGCGAGCCCCTGGTGTGGTCTCTTAATCCCTGTTCTGGGTTAGAGTAAGGGTGGTTTCTGGCAGATGGCCTTCACAGGACAGTAGAGGTTTGGTCCTGTAGGCCAGAGGACATTTGACCTTGGCTTTGACTCAGCCTGGCATAAGGCATCAGTGCCCTCCAGTTATAACCCCTCCACAAGACCTAGGGCTCCCGAGACCACAGTGTGCCTTGGTTGGCACCGTTTCTGGTCTGGGTGCTCTGCAGCCACCTCTCTGCTCTCCAGTGCTGGGGGACCTAGGAAGCAGGGCAATTCAGTCAGAGGTCCCAGTTCATTTTCCAGGTCTGCCCCTCCTACTTGTGTGATCTTGAAGAAGCTCCAACGCTCTGTTTCCCTATCTATGAGATGGGGATATTGGGACCTGGCCAACTCCTGTTCAGAATGAAACCACCCATGAAGTGCTTTGGCAACTGGCAGTTGAGGATGGAGACCCAGAGGGACCCTTGCCCCACCCAGAGATCTATTTCCTAAAGGCTGGAAAGGCATCCCTGCTGTTCCCCGGATGGCAGGGCCTGCAGCCCACCCTCTCGTTGAACCGGGGCTTAGGCTTTTCTTCACTCCCTCCAGCCTGTATACTGGGCTGTGGATGCCCTTTGGGGCCACCTCCCAGACAGGGACCCTTTCCAGATGCCATCCTGAACCTCTCCCCAGAAGCAGTGTGGTCTGTGTGGTCTGTGTCCCCATACTTCTGTCCTCTCCTCAGGCATTGTTCAAAAAGTACCATTGTCTATTGCCTGCCTAGACCAATTCAGTCGGCATCCCCAGAGGTGGGGCTCAGACAGTGGTGTGTTTTTAAAGCTCCCCAGTGATTAGAATGTTCCAGTAGGTAGCCAGGATGTGAGCCCTATGCTAGGCATCTTGCAACCCCAGCATCTCCCAAATGTCAGGCCTGCTTGCCATGAGCAGAGTTTGAAGGTGGCCATTCTGTCTCAGTCCCCATGCCTCCCATCCGCCAGGAATGGGCTCAGGCTGTGCAGTGTCTGGTGGTTGAGAGGTGTTTGTCCCAAGTCCTCAGGCCTTCATGTAGCCACCGGGATCTCTTTGGTACTGCCTTCCCCCAGGCTCCTCAGAGGCAGACTGAGCGATTCTGAAGTTTTCCAAAAGTTTATATCTGGAATCCCATTACCCCCATCATGGGAATACTGGCTATTTCAGCTAATCAGAAGCTCAGCTTGGTGGTCATATATAGTTTTGATGAATAAAAATGGACAAGTAATTGTTACTTAGCAAGTGGAGCTTGGCAGGCTGGAGATTTTAAAAGGCCAGGTCTCCGGCTGGGGGGATGATAGTGGGCGTCCCAGCCATGAGGACAGCAGCCACTCCTGTCCAGCTCCTCTCTGTTGCGTGAATGTGTGAAACCTTGAGCCAGCACCTGGGTCTCCTAGAACCTACCATACCACCAGCTAGACTGGCCTGACTGGCTGGCCCCGGGCATTGTCTGCATGTGGCCTGCGCTGCAGGTCTTCAGTCACTTACTAAGAGTGCAGAGAGAATTGAGACCCCTGCTCGGCGTGGGTGGGAGAGCAGCCCCCTCCCCAAGATCTACCTCCTCGCGCCCCCGCCCCCCATTCGGCCTCACCTTGGCCAGGCCTGACCTTATCCGGCAGTCATTGATTTCCTACCTTTGATGTCTCTCTCCGTGTGCTTCTGCACACCCTAGCCAAATTAATTTTCTTAAAGCATCTCTTTGCACATGCCACCACGCTCCTTAAAGCCAACCCTCAGGGGCTTTTCTGCACATAAGCCCCCATTTCAGCCAATCTGGTTTGCTCCTTCTGAACAGACCACAGGGGGTTCACGCCACCCTGCCCAGATGCTCCCCCCCCACCTTCCCTTACCTCATTTTATGCCATTCTTGCATTTTGGAATACGCACTTTCTCCTCCTCCTGGTCCCCCCTCGCCATCTCCTCCTTCCTCTTAACAATTTATGTAACATGGGGATTGAGACCCCCTTTCTGAAGGGTTGACAGATTCTCACATAACCATGGTAGGGCGAGGTACTTTTCAAAGTGTGAGCAGTACCTTCTGTTCACATTCCTTTACTGTTTTACATATTTTTAAATCCTTCAATTTATTTAGGTTCTTGAACAGTGTAATATTACAAGAGAACATCCTGGTAATATTTTAATCATCCTTGGATTTAGTTGTTGTTTTATGTTTGTCTTACATTTTTTTCCTTATGGCAGATGTTGAGTGTTGTAAAGCTCCAACTCTTGATTTTGTTGACTAATCGAATGGTTTTGTCGAAGTGTATGTACTCTGCTCTTTTTTTTTACTTCATATTTTACATTTCTGAAATTATTTAGGTATAGCTAATCATATTTTTAATGTTTCTAGTAAACGCAGGTACTTTGGTCTAGGACTTTTTTCTTAGAGCTTTTTCTGCACTCTGTCAGTTTGACATGTGCACGTTTTTGTTACCATATGAGGAATTTTCTTTTGGCCCAAGTGTTGTTATTTTTTCTATATTTCCAAGTGATGAATGCATAGGTCATTGCTGTTCTTTCTTACTGTGTTGTGGTGTCAACATTTCTAAGTGTCCATAGAACCTACTCTGGGCCTGAAGATATGATCAATTTTTATAAAGCATTTGTGTACTCTCAAGAAATGGGTTTGTACTCCATCAGTTCTATTTGTTAACTTGTTTTTAAATTACTTTATTCAAATTCATACTTCCTCTGTTGTTTACAGTTCTTAACTTGGGTCTGCAGACTGCCTAGGAGTCCGTGAGCGCGCAGGTTTATTTTAGAGGCAGCATGGAGGAATGGAACAAAACTGGGTGGTTACATGTGTGAAAGAATTGTTTGGGGCTGGGAGTTGGGGGACCTGTAGCATTCACCACATTTTGGAAAGGCTCTGTGAGCCCCAAAATAGTTAAGAACACTCATTGACATGATCAAATCATAGTCTGATTTTGTGTTTTTTACTTTATTTCTGTTTCACTTAAATTTGCTTCTGTTTTATGTTCGTTGTTGCAATGTTAGATGTGCACTTTCTCAAACCCTTTTTGAGAAATAGGGTTATCATTAAGTAAGTACTAGGATATTTGGAGCATATATATTTAATAGTAATATATTGAAAAAATTGTGCCTTTTAGTGCCCTTTGCCTCTTTTAATTCTTCTAGCTTGAATTTTTCTTTTCCAGATACCATAATTGAAGCCCCTTGCTTTTTTCAATTTGCATCTATCTGCATGAGAGTTGATTTTGCTCAGCATTTTCAAAATTTGTGTATATATTTTGCTGTATAACTTATAAACAGCAAAGTGTTGGATTTTATTTTCTGATTCTTTCTGTAATTTTTCTTTTTATGCAAGAAGTTCTCATATCAATTTAGAGTAAGGCATAATTTATCTTCATACCTCTATTTTAATATAGATGAACTCATTTAACCCAAAAAGGGCATGCTCATTTAATGTCCATCTTTAGGAGTTATTCACCATGTGTGGAATTTTATTTCTGGGGAGGCTGATGGTCTGCCATTGGGCACACCTGCTCCTTCCTGCCTTTGTCAGTGCCAGGCTCTGTCCTGATCCCACTCTTAAAGTCAGCCTCTGGCTTCAGTACTCTTGGCTCTAACGCGGAGGAATGATGCCACCTCACAACCCTGTGGAGCTCAGGGGAGATAGAAATACAAACCTGCATGTCAAACTGGGGGCATAGAGGATTAGTACGCTATTAGTGTTTTGGAATGTTTCTTTAATTTGCTGTTCTTCCTCCCAAAGTTCTTTCAGCATAACTTGGAATAGTATATTGTGGTTTACTTTCTAGAAAACACTGCCAGATGTAGTGAAGAATTAGACTTCACAGATCCATCCCACACTCCCTGAGTGAACGTGTATGGTAATCTGTATGAGAAGCGGGGAACCTGATCTCATAACCCCCATCCCCATCACCTGTGTGTCCCAGGTGGGACCCCTTGTCAGCCCTCCCCCTTCCCCTGTGGTGGTGGGGAGAAGCACTGTCACAATTGCAGAGATTAGAGAATATGGTCACTCTGGCCCCTCCTGTGGCAGGTGGGGAAATGGAGGCCATGACTTAGTGGAAGTGAGGTGCTTTAGTGTCAGATCTACCCGGCAGCCGTGGCAAAGAACAATTTCGGATGTTATGGTGCAGCCTTGGGCAGCTGTTGCCAGGACTTTTCAGTTGGCAAGTGATTTAGTCACCATAGGCGAAGTGAAAACCAAGTAGTCTGTCTGCTCAGAGTTGCTCAGCACTTGTACAAGTGGACGTCCACGTGTACATTTGCCAGAATGCCGATGCACAGAATTACTGGGGGTGGGGAGAGAGAAGCCCTTTTCTCATGGGAGAACTCCATCTTCAGTATCTAATAACCCAGGATGCTGCATCAGAAGGTTGACTGATGAGTGTGGAATTGGGGTGTCAGGACATGGACCTATCCTGCACCACAGGCCACACACTTGCACAACACTCAGAATGCTGGTGGGGGACACACGCTGAAGACCCTCCAGTGTCCATGACCTCCTCCCTGGTGGGTGCCTGCCCTCTGAGGTCCAGAGCGCCTTCTGGTGGCGACTTACAGACACATGAAAGGCTCTTAAAGTGAAGTGTCTTTCAATCCCTGCTTCCTTTCTCCACCACCCTTATTAGCCAGGCTTCATCTTCTCCCTGGGGATTACCAGAAGCACCACCGTTTCTGCCCTCTGGACCTCACTTAGGTCTTCCAGGTCCTGGAACCCCTGAAGTGAGAGAGAGTCACAAGCAACCAAGTAATAATGTGTTAATAATGTGTGTAATCTTCACGTTGCCTCGTCTTTCGGAAAAGGAAGCGGCACCTTGCGTGGTTCTGGATGGGTCTTCTCCTAGGACCACAGGCACCCTCAAAAGTGAAGAGTTGTCCTGGGCTCATGCTGGGGGGCAGCCCCAGTTACCTTCCTGGAGGCTGGTGGCAATTTATGTGGGTCTTATAAATAAAACCCATGGCCTCTCTCTCCTTCTGATGGCCCATCTTGGAGTTCCCTGATAGGGACCTCCCTCTCTGCCCATCTTCCTTTCTAACTGACTGAGCCCTCTAGGGGAGGGACCTGCCACCATGTCCCACAGTGGGCTGGGGACTGGGGCCTGTGCTGTGTGAACAAGACTTACTCCTGTCCGTTCTGCACATCCAGGATGCTTTTCAGTGCTCTATCACCTGTTCTTTTCTCCAGACTTGCCGATTTCAAGCCAAGAGCCAGATACCACCTCCTCTTCTGCCTTCTCATTCACTCATCCCCACCCCAAAAGTCTGGCCCTTAATCTCTTGATGCCACCTTCTCCTGTCATTTGATTGCTCCTACCCGGGGCTGCTACCATCCACTGTGGGCCCACTGCACAGCCCCTTCCCCTGGCCTCCCACCACTGGCCTGACTTCCCTTCTGCCCACTCTCCCTTCAGCAGCCGGAGTAATCGTTCTGACTCTCAGTCTGATGGGGTCACTCCCTTTCTGAAACATCCCCGTTGGTTTCTATGTAAACCTGTGTTGAGGCCAGCCTGTAGGCCCTTCCTGATGTGACACCTCCTCCTCACCCAGGCCCTCCATGCTCCAGCCACACTGAACCCCTGTGTTCCCAAACATGCCTTCCTCTGGTGGGAAGAGCAGAAGGGTGGCCTTCAGGGGGCAGCTGTCTCCCACCCACAGGAAGAACATGGGCTGAACGTGGGCCATCCTTCTCCAGGGTCAGGTATTCTGAGGCCAGGTTCCCCCACTGCGCCCTTCCTGGCCCTGTGCTGTATTCTAGGTGTCAGGTGCAGCTGGACCAGGGAAGAAGGCCAAGTTTAGGGTGAGGGTCAACACTTCGGTTAGTGGAGAATGAGAAGATAAGAGCGGGTCCAAGATAGGGTGACTGTTGTCCTCGATGTCTGACTGTGACACTTGCACATCATAAGACCTGGCATATTTACGTATTTCCTAAAAGTGACTTTACAAGCACCCCAAGCACCCCCAACAAAGGTTTTGCCTGAGCCCTCACCCTCCAGAGCCTATCTCCTGCCCAAGACAGCCAGGGCTCTCAGATCCTCACAGTGACTGAAGCTCACCTCATCCTTGGTTTCTTCCCAGTGTGATGGAACCAGGGGCCAGCAGGAATTTCGAGGTAAAGCCAGTTCATAGAAGAGTGAAGCGGAGAAGAGCCTGGAGTCAGTTTCAAGATTGTAACAAGAGACCTTAGTGTTTTGTGTTCTCAGGCACCGATGTTGAGAAGGCGGGCAGGAGCCTGTTTCCCCAGAGTAACTGGAGCAGGGGAGTGAAAGGAAGGGAGACGAAGAGACCCACCAATCCATGGGGACAGAGGAAAATGGGGCTGGGACAACAGCGGGGTCTCATTGTCTGAGACCTCAGTGCCTTCCAGAGGCTAAGTAGCTGACATGAAGCAAGAGGCCACCAGGGGAGCGCCAGGAGCCTGTCCCGCAGAGCTACCTGGAGCAGGACCCCGCCCACCCGCCTGGTGCTCACCAGCCTGTGGGACCGCCTGCAGCTGCCTCCCCTCCCACCTCTCCACAGGTGCAGATCCAGCACCTCCTTCTGCCCTTTGCTTCAGCCATGCCACTGGTCTGAAGCCAGGCCTCCCTGGGGGAAGCCCGCCGCCAGCTGTGGAGTCACAGGAAGCCAAGCCTGGGGACTCCTACTAGATACATGGGTGCTACCAGATTTTCACACATCTCTGCCAGTAACTGATAGAAGAGGGCTGTGAGTGAAAAAGGCTAGAGAGGACCCGAACGAGACAGCCTCATAGCCATCCATGGAGCAGAGTGTGCCAAGTGCAGAACACACATCCTTTCCAAGGACATATGGAACAAAAGTGCACACATGCTGGGCTAGGCCAAAGTACAGATTATGTTCTTGGAATCCAGCACAGTGATGCTAGAAACCATAAAAATGTAACAGAAAAAGTGGTGCCTCTTCGCCCCCTAGCCAGGATTTACAGGCGGGGACGCCAGCAGTGAGAACATGTTTCCCATACACACTTCAGGCTCTGCTAATTGCGAAGTTTCCATTCCCAAGAGAAGCATGCTTTCTCCAAGGACGCCCCCTTGGCCACTGTGGGCATCTTGTGCCAGTGCACAACAGGCACGGGTGATCAGCCCGTCGGTACTGGGGGCTGGGAGGAATGTGTCTGGAGCAGGACAGTTCATGCCAACTACCCCGCCTCCTTCAGTCAGAAGGGCTCCTGTCCTGGATCCTCCGGAATGGAGATTTGGGTTACCTCACTGGACCACTGGGGTGCTCGCTGAAGGCAAAGGGAGTACAGAACGGGCAGTGGGAGCCAGAAACACCAGCATGAGCTCGCAAACAGGCATAGAAAAGAGTTCCCAGCATTTCTTTCTTTCTTCTACATGAACATACGTGCACTTATTTACTTATTTCCTTTATTTTTAAAGATTTCATTTATTTATTTGACAGAGAGAGACACAACAAGAGAGGGAACACAAGCGAAGGCAGAGGGAGAAGCTGGCTTCCCGTGGAGCAGGGAACCCGATGCAGGGCTCAATCCCAGGACCCTGGGATCATGACCTGAGCCGAAGGCAGACGCTTAATGACTGAGCCACCCAGACGTCTCTACTTATTTACTTTTTAAGATTTTATGTATTCAGCTATTTTTAAAGATTTATTTATTTATTTATTTGAGAGAGAGAATGAGAGAGAGAGCACATGAGAGGGGGGAGGGTCAG